AATATTTCAATCAAAAGATGACTCACTTATCGTACACGATTTTCTGATTCATAGACGACGTCTCCTACTGGAGTTCTCTAATTCTCTCACCTTGCTTACGTAACGGAGCACCCAATAATAAGTCAAATGTCATTAGTCATTTTTTTAGAATTCTTTATCAAAACTCAAGGCTTGCAGAAAGTTTCCCCTGTTAATCTAATTATCATTATCAAATGGGGCAAGGCAAACAATTTATTTATAAGTTGTTTTACTAATTTTCTACACCAAATGCTACCTTAGCTTCTCTGAAAAAAGCAATTAACGTATAATCGATAATTGCCGCTTAATTATGCATTCGCTTGGCTTTAGAAAGTTTATTAGGAGAAGAGATAAAAACCTGAAGCACGCAAAAAACTATTCTTCAGCCAACTGACGCGTGTTTAAACATAAGAAAAACAAATACAGAAAAGAAACAATAAAACATCTGTGGAGACACACGATTTAAATCAAATAGACTTTGGGCCAACGGAACGCTTTATCAATTCTTTGTCTACGTTTGGTTTGTCGTCATCGAAACTTGAAAAATCTTTTAAGATAACAAATTTTGCACGCGCTAAAATGGGAGGAAAAAATACATTCTGCTCATTGATAAATCATTGGTAATAGGAGGCAAGCGAGAAGTAAACAACAACAAAGTCGGCTTTTGCTTGTCTGAAGAGGAAGTCGAGCATAAAAAACATTGAGAAAGAAGCCAACAAAAAATATATAGAAAACAAAAAACAAGAAAGGAAACTTAATTCAGAAAGCCGAAGTTTATACACCCTTAAAGTTTGGAATTGAATCGGATCAGATGAATTGGATCGTATCGGAAATTGATCGGGTTTTTTAATTCTTTAAATCGATTTTTTCAATTTTTATCAAACAATCAAAGTTTAAAAACTCATAACTCAGTCAAAAAGACTGTAATTTTAATTCCGAAAGCTTTTCTATGTTAGTTTTTGTATGGGTATTAAGTCTGCATACTCAATTTAAAATATAAAATTTTGGTAAATTTTTTGAAATTTTAACGATATAAAATAACCCTTATAAAATTTTCAACATTTTTAAAAAATTAAATTTTGTCCAGACATAGCTAGATCAATTCGGCTGTTGATGCTGATCAAGAATATATATGATTCAAGGGGTCGGAAATGACTCCTTCACACCGTCACAAGCTTCTGACTAAAAGTATAATACCCTGAAATGGGTACAAAAATACTGGCAAAATCGAACATATTTTGCGTTTTTGGTAATATATTGTTGTTGTTGCTTTCGCTGGAATTCTCATTCCCCGGACCGGTTTTCGGTACAGTTCTCGTTCCAGCAAAGGCATTTTTCGTTTATGGAAGGAACTCACTCTAACGATTGTTTGTGGAAAACGATCGCCTCTATCTATCTCGTTTCAAGAGTGCCCATCGATGGCTATACGTCTATACTATACACTATTTTATTCCCATACATATATTTTCAGACATTATCAAATGCTTCAATCAAGTCACATGCGCACATTGCCTGTGTGTGGCTAGAAATGTTGTTAATGACTTTACTCGGCATGCGACCATGCCTCCCACTAGGAATTTGCATTTAAAAATAGATATTATTGGATGGGTCTACGGTGAGATTTTTCTTTGTGTAGAAACGGGGGATATTTACACAGGGAATTTATTGTTCTTTCTGTTCCCGGATGGAGAAAGGTGTTTTTTTTAATGGGAAATACCTGAGCTCACAGTGATCGTAAAAATATTTACAGATGCTAAGTGATTTTAAGAAATGATTAAGTAAACAAAATGAAATAATTATTTATAGTAATTCATGACATTGAAAATAAATCAAGGTTGTTTGTATTACAATCATCGCATAAAACGTAATTTTAAATGAAAACAAAAATTATTTAAAAATGTGTAAGCATAAAAAGGATATTTAAAATTGAAACATAATAAAATCCTATCATTTAATAGAATTTTTCTGTGATATTTTAAGGAAATTTATAGTCCCAATAAAGTGTATAGCTGAATCAAATTTCAAACTATTGGTTCTTCATTTTAATTGCGTTTTAGAAATAAGAAAAAATACCCCTAGGCTAGATTTTCTTTATGGTTAAATAAAAACCTGACACTCTCAATGAGAATAAATGTCTCTAGTTTCCCCCAGGAAAATGTGTTTTTCCTCGGCTATCATCAGATGTTCATATGTTTTCCCTGCCATTTAAGGCCATTAAGCCTGCGAATGCAACTTGCCGATGCGCGATTGTTTTGCGTAGTTGAATAAGCAGCGAATATATCTTGATTTATGCAAAGACACTGACTATTGTTGCCTCACACAGGCAGCAACAACAACAGAAAAGAAAGACACAAAATAAAATTAAAAACAAAAAATAAATGCCAAATAAAAACAAATACAAAGGCGTGTATAGGTTGCGTGTGCGCTTTGGTATTTCCATTTATTAAATTTGTATGCATACCTCTTCTTCTCCCGAAAAGCAACGAGGAGAGGAGAAGGCGCAAAGGAAAGATAAAGAGCAATAACCAAGCTGCACTTGAATATAATTTAGGTACCGAGAGTTCACTTCCATGTAGAGGCGAAAATTCCCAAATAATTCCCGAGTGCGTGGGATATAATAAAGCAGAAGAAACAGTCACTTGACACTCTTACTCTTTGTGATGCTGCTTCTCCTTCCATGCCCTTTGTTTCCATTCCGCAATATAGGAACGGTCTTCGTTGGAAAAGGAAACTAGCAATTTGCTTTAAAGGCTGAGTAAATTGATTTTGAATGTATTGTTTTTTTTTTTTTTTTTGGAGCGCCAACAAAGCGTGAAAAAGGTTCATGCAATAAATGTGTAACAAAGTGGAATGCAAAAACAGCAGGTTTCCTCCTCTATTTCCCCCAATTAAAACCGAAAACTGCAACGAAAGCGGGCGGGGGAGAACAAAAGAGTGAGAGGGAACTGACAAAACAGATCAAAAACAAAGCAACGTGCCAAGGCAGCAGTTGAATATTTGCCATTGTCGTTTGTTTTCTATGTAACAGTAAAATCACTTGGCACGGCCAGGTACGGTGGAGAGAAAGAGAGCGAAAGATACGGGAGACAGGCGCTTTGCCAAATATTTGCACACACACACTCACCTGAATTTGCGGGTCCAGCTCGTCTTCTGTACTCGACATTTTCGCTGATTTTCACCAATCACAAATATGCAAAACTGCGCTAATTTTCACTTTTCTGTCGCCCGCTTTTTAATTGAAAACCACTTGCATTTCGTTCAATTTAATCTTGTTGTTTGCACACACACACACATAGAGAGGCTCCGCGTCGCGTCAATTTTCCAGCAAATGTGCCTGTGTGTGCATCAATTTAGTTGTATTTTCTTCAATATTATGTAAATTTGTGTATTTGTTGTAAACCAGCAATTTGTTAAACGGTTCCTTTTCTCTCGTTTCTTTTGCGTTTTACGTTTTATGTTTCACAATGAAGTCGTGTGTGTGCAAAGAACACGCGGCGATTGGGATTGAGAAAAAGGCATCAGTAAACGCGCGTTACATCTTTTTCACTTCTGCCGCTGAATCTAATTTGTTTAATTTCGCTTAAAACTGCTTAACTATCCTAAAAAATAAAGACGCGTCCGACCGCGATGAAGAGAGGAGATAACATGGTTGAAAACATCGATGAGTCGGTGCATCGATGTTTTTCGAATAAATCATCGATGGTTTTTCGACCATCGATGTTTCTGTGCCGTCACTTACAGTATGTTAAACTTACAGTATGTTAAACTCACCAGCACTTTTCTGTTAACGATTTTCAGTTCACCAGCACTTTTCTGTTAACTAGTCAGGGCAACAGTGTTGCCAATCCTTCGGGCACGAAAAAGCTAGTCCAACCTAGAAAGATACAGAAAATTTTGACATTAGCTAAAAAGTTTAATTTAACATTCCAATTGGGAATTTGACACCATGTATGAAAAGTTGGGAAATCTATACTACTCTAACAGTGTAAAATGTTTCTGTAGATTTGTAAAATGTAAATGTAAGCTCGGGGTCTTAGTATATGCTTTTACACAGCTTGTCTTATAAAATTGAAATATCGATAAATTAGGCGCTATTTTTAAATATTCAAGCTCTTTAAAAGTAAAGTTAAAGTTAATTATTAGCAAATTAAATACAAATATTCAAGTGAATTATAAAATCCCACTTTAACAAAACAATCAGAAATATTCCCACATTTTACTATGAAATTTTACTTTATTTGTTATTGGTTTTTCTTTAATTTTGTTTTGTTTTGCCCTTTATGTGCTTTACATGTTTGTGATTTGATTTTGTATTTACTTTTCATTACGTTTGCCTTATATGCGTTTATAAATCGAATACTTCTCCAATTTCCTCTAATGATATGCGCACCAAACGAGTTTTATTTTATAACCGAGCGCCATTATTAACAGAAAACTCACGTAAAAAAAGATGAAAGAATAAATTTTATACTAAATAAATTTGTATTTATTTTATGTAAATTATAGAGAAGGCAATGCAATGGGTATACCACGGAATTCTAATCGTTAAATCGTTTAAACGTAGGTTTATAAAGATGGATTCGCTCATCTCTCTCTGCTTGCTTAATTTAACGCTAATATAAGATTTATATTTTATATAATGCATCTTTTGTTGTTTACTTTGTATGGAATAACACTTAATTATACATTGATTTCATATATAGTTTGATTTCTTCAGTTGTAATCGTAACAAATAGAAGAGCTGATTCGATTTGAAAAAATGAGAAAAATTCACACAGATATATATAAAAAATTGAAAGATACAAATTATAGATAAATGCAATTTGAAATTGTCTGAAGGGGATCTTTAAGTAGTAGTTCTGTGTGCGTGGCTGCCTTCTAGATCTTCCTCAAACCACTAAATACTTGTCCATAAATGATTTCGTTTAAATATTTGTTTATATATATATATCGAATTATATTATATATATATATATATATTTTATGCTATATAATAACTATATATATGCATCGGTTATTTTGTTTCGTTTTGTTAACATTCATATTCTTGCGTTGAGGAGGTGATAGGGAGAGAGTTTAGGAAAAGTACAAAAGTATACAATGGTTCGTCGAAAGCTTTTCTCGTTTAGTTTGTCCTTTAACTACTATCGAAATGATATGGAAATCGAAGAATACAAAATAAAATCAAATGCTTCCTTCTTTGCATATAAACAAATTCAGCTTAACTAAGTTTAAAGTACATAAAACATTACCACACACCACAAGTTCTACCGCAAAATTCAGCTACACTACAATTTGTTGTTGTTGATTGGAGAGTGGGTGTTGTTGTATTGTTGTTGTTGTTGTTAAGTGGGGAGAGTCTATTCACTGTCTATGTTGAGGCCCACACGCTTCTCCTCCTCGAGCATGGCGTCCAGCTCATCAGTGAGATTGGCCAACATATTCCCAATATCGTTCAGAACATTCACCGACACCTTGGGCGGCACAACCACAGCCGGAGCAGCTGCCGTCTCCGGGGAAGTTGTTGATGTTGCCAGCGGCTCTGCCGATCCTCCGGGATTGCTCAAGTCCAGCGTGGGGGAACGAAGATGCAAGGCACTGCCACCGCTGGCCGTGCTACCCATGCTTTCGCTTCGCGCCAAGGTGGCATCGTGCAGCGAACTGGAAGATTTCAGCGAATGGAACGAGTGCGCTATATTGTTCGCAATGGTGTTCGTGGAGGAGGAGCTGGAGCTCGAGCTGGAGGAGTGCAGGTGAACGGGATGAACGGGATTGTTGGCATGCAGCTCCTGGCGATTAAGCAGACGCTGCTTGATCGTCCCGGTGTTCTCGTTAGCGAACGGTATCGTATCAATCGAATCGATGCTGGAAGTTGACTTATTGTCATGGTACTTCTCGCAGTGTATCTCCGCCGTGGTCTGCTGAATGGTGGCATAGTTGGCATAGATGGGCTGCTGATTGCCACCAGCTGCAGCTGCAGCCGCCTGCTGCTGCTGCCAATGTTGCGCCGTGTGGCCATAGAACATGTGTGGCGGCTGGTTAGCCTGTTGCTGCTGCTGCTGTTGTTGCTGCTGCTGTTGCGTCTGCGTAACAGATCCTGGAGGCATTCCCTCGCCGCTCAGCGTGCGAGAATTGCGTATGCTGCAGTGGCGACGGGGCGGCTCTGGTGCTATCTTCTTGCCTGTCAACGGACTGCCGCTTAAATAGTTCTGGAAACAACCATAAAACAATTAGGTATTAAGGATAACACAGCTATAGTATAGGGATACTTACCGCTCCCGACTCAATGCCACTGGCTGCTCCATACTCTGCCGCCGCTGCCGCATTCATGTAGTGATGATTCTCCAGCGGTGGCATTGTATTTAGCACTGCTCGCTGCAGAATGCCACGCTGCTGGCGCGGCAGTGTACCGCCTCCCTCCTGCTCGTAGAGCAGCTCCCTCGTTGCATCGTTGGTGGGTGTTATGTCGCCGTCATCGTAGGATCGCCGCCAACCAATAGCGGTTGCATTGCTACCCATAAGCCTGGCTGCTGCCGCCTGCTGCTGTTGTTGCTGCAGCAGCTGTTGATGGTGATGCTGCTGCTGGAGCGTGGCGGCTGCTGCCATGGCCGCCGCAGCTGCTGCTGTTGTGGGCGGCCCAAAGTGTCCATAATCCGTGGTCGTGTAATGGCTAAAGGTCAAATGGCTGCGCGTGCTGTTGTCGTGGATGTCCTCCAGCGATTCTAGGCTCTTGCCACGCGGCTGACGCACCTGCACAGAAGATAAGATGGGAAACACTTGTAATGAGTTGTGTTTTATAAAGTCCTGCCGCTACTATATGAACTTTAGGTTTAAAATGACGGGAAAATACCCAGAAACTCAAGTTAAATTCAAGTTTAAGTAAATTTAAGGAATTGTGTAAAATAGCTCAGTGAAATGTAAGGAAAAAGCAAAGTATTTATAAGGCTTCAGTTCCAAAAGTCTGTCCCTAGCTAGAATTTCAACAGGCACTCGAGAGTTCAAGGTCAACAGGCTGCCACTGTTGAGCACTTGAGGCTCCTCTACGACCAGGTGCTGCTGCCCACCTTAATGAGCACCACATCGTTGCCGGAGCAACACTCATGATTGCTGCCCGTGCAGTAGTAGGCATCGCCGTTGATGAGGCTACCGTTGAGGCAACTGCTCCCAGCCGGGGCCGTGGCATTCAGGACACTGCTGCTGTTGGCGGTCGCGTAGATCTTGGTATCGTCCCAGGAGACGCGAGTGGTTGGCACATAGGATGGCGTACTGGGTATGGGCACAATAAATTGCCAGGGCTTTCGCTGGTATTCCTGATTTTGTCCAATAAATCAAGGAAATCATAAAAATAGAAGAGTATAAAGAAAACAAATAGAAATTAGGGAAAATGATAAAATAATAAAGGTGATTTGGAACTTATGATAAAAACTCAATTGAAGAAGGGTCTCCTTTATTAAATTCCCAAGCTAAAACCTCCTTTCTCACCTGCTGTTGGTAGGCATTGGCTCCTCCAGGATTCCATTTGCCACTGATAATGTCCTTTACCCGCTTGATGGCTAGCAGAATTTTCTTCTGATGCCCCAGCTTGACAATGCCAATGTCCTCGAGATCCTCCCAAGTCACTTGGGTAACATCACGCACCGTCTTGTAGTTCTGCTCCAGCAGTGGCTGTATATACTCCTCCAGACGCAGCAGCTGCAGCCATTCCTCAATGGATCCCTGGAAATGGAGAGGGGAAAGTAGATTGAGTATTGACATGTTTATGGATTATTATATTTATATAAGTATATGTATTCTCCCAGTGGAAAATCGGGCTAATCGCTTATGATTTAATGCCCTGGGGAAGATCTGCCCAGACTACAAATTGTCCATGAACTAGTTCAGACCCTGACGCTGATAAAGGGGGAAGCATTCATGGATTGGGAGTGGGTTACACACATGGCTGGTGTCTCCTCTGACGATGAGCTCGTCGTCGTCGTCGTTCCAGCTCTAATCAGTTGTAATTGATAAGATATGACATAAATCGCGTCAAAGCACAAGCATAAAGAAACGAATAAAAGCCAAAAACTCGTTGCTGTCGTCATTAAACGGTAGCGAGCTAGACTCGCAACCAAATGTTGTAGATACACATGTATGTATATACCCCTAAACATGCTCATATATACATACTATATGTATCCGACGATGCAGTCGAAAATCATCAACTTCCATAAAGTGTAAAGCCACTTTCTGATACTTTATGCCATGTGTACACGATGTGTTAATCACTTTTCTGTTGGCTCTTTTGGCAGCTAAATTGCTGTTGATTTCAATTTAATTAAATGTCTTGTCTTCTGCCAAATGGGATGTGATTGCGCTGGGAGAGTCTCCCGATTGGAAATTGTTCATTGAAAGCTCTCTTGATTTTGATTGGAGGAAGGAAATAATGTCAAATGGGTTATATGTAAATGTGCAAGTGATTTAATGGAATTTTAATGGGAAATTTGAAATTCAAGGGCTTACAGTCAGGCTAAAGATACATACAGAAAATATACAAAATAAATGTAATATAGTAATAATTGTATATATAATTTTAATAGGAATGATAATATAAGGGGACAGTATTCTACCTATAAATATTAAACGTGATGGCGCTTAAAATTCTCAAGTACGAATTCAGAGGCAAGCAAAGTACAGGCTTGTTCCTTCTGACACGTTCCTTGGGTTATATCGAGAACTATATCTTTAAAGACCAAATAAATTTAGAGCTGACAACATTATTTCAATAATTAACTTTGCTTTAACCATAATATTTACTAATATATTCCATTTTTACATGAAAAAATACATAATTTTAGCCATATTTATCTTCCCAAAGGCAAAAAAATAAACCCTTTTTACTTCGATCTTGAGCTTCAATGTCTATTTATTATTTTAGGAAACTCTCCACATTTAGGGTATATGTCACTGGTAAAACCTATGAGTATTTTTAATGTATTCTTCACAACTCTCTTGAAATGAATGTCGCACCAAAAATACAATAGTAATAATAAACCCACAACTCCACTAAAGTCACATATGCTAATCGGAATCCTCCAGCCTCCCGTCAGACACACACATATTTTCCCAAAAACTTTAACAAAATATTTATCTAAATAACAAAATTTGTTTTATTTTTTTTGTTGGTCTTTTGTGCTTTTGCTTCTCCGAAATCCATTAGCAGGTAGCATATGGTATGACACTAAACAGCAGCGCGGCGGCAGCCATCATTAGAGGCGAACAAAACAGGTTTTTTGAAAACCAAATCGGTGACCAAAATACAGAAACTGAGAAGAAAAAAAAACATAAAAACTGTACGAACTGCGTACCAAAAAACTACAAAAAAAAATACGTTGAAAGCGAATGCGTCAGGCTGAAAACCGACCAGGGTCCGGGAAAATCAGAGAGGCAAAAAAAATACAACAAAATGAGCCAACATCACAGGCCCCTTATGACCCCCAAGGTCGTTCGTTGATTGCGGTTTTTAGTTCGGAGATTGGCGACCGTTTAATAACTTTTTCGCTTGCCTTTCAGGTATTTCGCTTTATTTCCTTTTTCGCCGCGATAAAGATGTGTGTTTTGCAAAAATAAATAAAAAGAAAAAAATGAAAAAGAAAGCCGGGAGAGAGGCTGCAGAGAATGTTGGCTAATGAGGGAGTTGTTGTGACTGTTGTTTCTCTACCCAGTCTCTGTTTATAAGGTGATGTAAGTACTTGTACACTTAAAAAATGCAGATCATATTGGAAGATATTTTATAAGTATATCAATTACATTGAAATTATATTTACATGTACCGAAGATGTTGTGATCTCTGGTAAAAAGGGTGTTCAGAGAGAGATCTAAATATATATCATAATTATCTCTTAAAGTGATATGCGGTTTTAATAATACGTTGTGTTTTCTGATATACCCTTGCAGTTTGCAAATGAATTATAGAATCAAATCCTAAATCGATCCTAATTAAGCTTACCATATTCTTTGAATCTATATTTACTGATATTTTTATATGACAATTTTTAAACAAATCAGAGAATAAAAAACTCATAACTAAGCCAAAAAAACATTAATTTATCTTCGGAAAGCTTTACCATCTTAGTTTTAAACAGGTTAATAAAACTGCATACTCAAACGAATATTTAAAGAGATTCCAAGTTTTTAGAATTTTAGAATGATGTAATCCCTTATAAAATTTTCAAAATGTTGAAAAAATTAAATTTTTTCCGGACATAGCTAGATCGATTCGGCTGTTAATGCTGATCAAGAATATATATGATTTATAGGGTCGGAAATGACTCCTTCACAGCGTAACAAGCTTCTGACTTAAATTATAATCCCCCAGAAATTTATGTTTCCATAACTCTTTTCTTCTATTAAATTTGGTTCAATTGCTCAATAAATCTTAACATTTTTTTGCGAGTGTCTTCGAGTACCCCAACCACACCCCACACCCCAAAAAACAAAGAGTGTCCCGCCCGTGATCGACAAATAACAAATATCGAATGGAGTCGGGCGATAAAGTATGACAACAACGGCGGTAACTCGATCACAAAACTTGGCTAACTTGCGAAAAACAGTCACGGCGAGTTATATAAACACAAGAACGAGAAACAACAAAAAGGCGAAGAATTCTACACAGCTAGTAAAAAATTATAATGGCGCATTTTTCAGATGAAATACAAAACCCTGAGTAAAGAAACAATATAAGCAAGAGCAGTAAGAAAAAACAAAACAAAATCCCGGCAGAGTAAAACCAAAGCTGAGGTCATTTCTGATTTGAAAATTGCAGCTTGTGTAGAGCAAATCGTTTGAAAAATAGATTTGAGGCGGTGCGATAATGAAAAACTAAAACTAAAAAAAACAAGAAAGGAAGCTAACTTCGGCACGCCGAAGTTTATATACCCATGCAGATAGAAATTCTATGACTAGGAAGCCATACCATATAAATTATATATATTTGTGTTAAAAAACAATGAAGTAATACCTGCTTTCATTTCATTCACCTATACATATTATATTTGCAGCTTTTCGTTCACAGATTTCCATTTTTCTTCTACATCAAACAATAGTTTGTATGGCACCTATATGATATAGTCGCCCGATTTTCATGAAATTTGACACAAAATTTAAGACTAATATAAAATGGCTACACCTCAAATTTGATGAAAATCTGTTGAAAACTGAAAAAGTTATAATTTTTAATTGTATTAATTTCTCGATCGTTCCTATGGGAGCTATATGATATAGTAGTCCGATTTTCACAAAATTTTATACAAAATTGTAGAGTATAGTAAAATGGCTATATCTCAAATTTGATCCAATTCTATTGAAAACTGAAAATGTTAAAATTTTTTTTGTAAAAATTTTCCGATCATTCCTATGGCAGCTATATGATATAGTCGTCCGATCCGGCCCGTTCCGACATATATACGAGTGAGAGTATATAGAAGGCTAACTACAAAGTTTCATTCAGATAGCTTCAAAACTGAGAGACTAGTTTGCGTAGAAACGGACAGACGGACAGACGGACAGACGGACAGAAGGACAGACGGACAGACGGACAGACGGACATGGCTAGATCGACTCGGCTGTTGATCCTGATCAAGAATATATATACTTTATATGGTCGGAGGTGCCTCCTTCACTGCGTTGCAAACTTCTGACTGAAATTATAATACCCTGCAAGGGTATAAAAAAATGGATGTTATTAGCTGGACAAAAACTAGCAATTAACCGAAATCGAACGGAATGTGGCTCAAGTTTGAGCCGAGAGAGCGATGAATGATCGATAAATGCGATAAATGATATTATATATGAATTGCCAGCACTGTCAGGTGGGTTTAAATATTAAAGAGTGGGTGGGGAATGCAGTTATACACCTCTGTATACAGGTATTTATATACTCAAGATATAGGTGAACAGGCTGATGAAATGAATCAGTCATCGAAGCTGCAGTTGAAGTTGAAGATTGTGGTCGTTGCCAAGGTGTTAATCGTCTTTGGAATGCACTGTGTCAATGTGAAACTCAAGCCAAAGACTTACCATCCACAAAAACAATTAATGTTAATTTATGGAGGCATTTTTAGAGCACTTTTTCAAAGGCAAGGCATTGACTTGGATTCGTTTCCGAGCGGAGCTTAAGTTTGGACGACTTTTTGACCTTTTTGATGGGTTTTATCGGTGATATTTTTCGCTTCTTATTTGTATGCATTTCCATATGCATATCGCGTTGACTTTATTTGGGTTTAGTCATTCGACTTGAAAGCGTTGTTTAGGGCTAAACGTGAAATGCATATTGATAAGTTTTCAGTTTGGACAGTTGCTTGCATTTTTTAAGGCACGTACTTGATTTTAGTACGAATTTTTAGAGCTGCACTTAAATGTGGATGAGGTAGGTTTTGCTGAATAAGTACATACATGCCCGAGTTTTAAGCCGGAAGTCGAGGGTGTAATATATACGATTGGGTTTCTCTTTGGAAGTGTCGATTCAACACCTTAAATATATATAAAAGTGGGACATAAATGGGTGTGATATTTTATGGGAAGATGCATGTAATTTCTTGATGTATTATTGTGTTAGTTTTAAAAGAGTAATCAAAATTATTTTATATAAAATCATTTCAATCCATAGTTTAGTAAAATATACCGTGGCCTAGCAAAAAACCCATCTATCTTTGATATATCTATATAATATACTCCCTTCCTTGCAAGATTTCCTTGTTTTATTCCAACTTAACATGTTTCTCTTACTAATTTAAGCAAACAAGAATTATGCAATAAACAACCAATACCCCACAATAACAACGGAAGTAAATGCTCATTCAATTTCGATTCCTATCACAATCCAAAACATTTTTTGCACTCAGCAGTTTGTTCACCCTCCCGATAAAGCCAATTCAAATCAATTATTTCTATGGCCAAGAGAGAGAGTCCGCTTCGAATGGTTATTGTTGGACTTGGCTATATCATCTTAGTCATTGGACTGGAACCTTGATCTGTCAGATCGATGTGGCTAATGATCGGCTTCGATCGGTGGGGCAATTATCCGCGATGGAGCAGGTTGCTGTTGCCATTTCAAGTTCAACTTAATGTCGCCACCGAGGGGCGGGCGCCATCGGATTTCTCACAGACACACGAAATCCCCCACGAATATGGACTTTTAATTTGTGTTTTTTAATGAATTGTTGATGGGAATTAATGTGCGCATATTAAATGAAATTCTTTCATTAACAATAAACTTAAAAAAATAAATAACCGCTGACGGCGCTGTTTCAAGTTCTCTTTTTCTCCTTCGCATGTGGATGGGAAACAAGTTTATTTCTGCTTCTCTTTCCCTTTTTTTCACATTTTTTTTTCCATTTTTGCAAATGCTTTTTTAATGAAATATCAAAGATAAGCTGGTAACTAAACAAGCAAACAGCGGAAAGCGGATGGAGAAAGACAAAGATAGAGAGAATAGGGTGTTGCCGGTCGCAATTAATGCCAATATGGCAATTTGCCATGTTTAAAGCCGAGTGTGTGAGTGTACTTGTGTGTGAGTGTGTGAGTGTACTTGTGTGTGTGTGAGTTAGTGTCTGTGTTAACAATGACTAAGTAAGTTGCTCTATGGGATCCCAGGGTAGAGTTTATACTAGTTGCTGATCTATGGCCCAGGCAATAGTTGTTATGTCATCGCATCTATATGCAGTTGGTAATTTTAATAAATCAAATGTATTTTTAAAGTATCTATAAGACATTTTTAACAATCTGTCAAGTTTTAAGTGCAGGAAACTCTTTATAACATGTTTTAAAAACTATATTATATAGAAAACCTGGTAAGCCTCACCTCCCTTTAATTTATTGCCTTTACCTAGACTTTAGAGTGATTTTAAAACACCTACATTTTATATTTCAAATTGATTCTTAAAATTATTAAAGATTTGTAGGATAGACCTAAATAATAATTTAAAACTTATGATAGATTTGATATTATATATGGTTTATAGAAAATCTTTGATCCCGAAATACTAATTTAACATATTAAAGCAGTATTGCTCAGGCAATTAATTAATCTATTAGTTTTCCATTTGTTTCAACAGAGCCCAGGCATTAAAGCATATACTTTTTATCATTCTCTTAAGCTCCTTATACTTTGAACATTTAGAGTATTTTCTAGTCAAGCTTTACTGTACTCATAAAGTGCATCACGAGCTAAACTGGTTTTGTTACTGATTAGATAGGTAAATATTTACGGGCGTGCCAACAAATAGGGTTATTTCCCGGAATTCTTTTCACTTTATGGCGGAGATAAACTTTCGGTCTTAATTACAGAAAATTCTAGAAGAGTTTTAGAAACTAGGAGATTAGCATTAATTATTCTATAGACTTTAATCTACCCTCAATACAAATTTTAGAATTATTTGGTATCTCTCACAAGCTCTGAAATTCCCCAATCTACAAATATTATAATCACTAGATAGCAACTTACCGGCACAAAATGTGGCAAATTGTCCAGCACTTGCAGCTTATCGATCCTCTGCTTAATCCTTTCCCGATGATGCGGATTCTTGATGCCAATGGCGGTGAGATCCTCTGGGGTCATGCGTGCAATCGTGGGCAGATCGTAGCCTGCGGCTATAAACAGCTGTGCATACTCCTCGTGCTTCATCTCCATCAGCCAATCGATGATGAGCTCATCATTTCGCTGCCTATCAACGCTACCAATGGAGCAGGAACTCACAGAGCTGCAGCGTGGCGAGGAGAGCGGTGCCCGGATGGAGGCACCCGAAGAGGAAACACCGGTCAGGTAGGAGGAGGCTCGTCCCGAGTCTAGGCTGGCGGTACTGTGGCGGGATCCCGAGCCAGCGGATCCCGAGGAAGAGCCCGGCGAGTCCCTACCGGGGGACTGGGTCAGATCGATGCCTTGATCCTCTTGCAGGGCCAGCTGCTGGTGATAGTAAACCGCCGCCTTGTGGGTCAGCGGTTCGCGCAGAGTGGCACAAAACACGGGCGGCGGTGGTGGCACCATGGCAACGCCACCAGGCTTTCCAGCGCCCGGTGGCGGTGCTCCAGCAGCGGCTGGTTGAGTTGGCGCTATCCCTGGTCCGACCACTTCATCCTTGAGCCGCAGGGCCACGCTTGTCTCCCGGGGCAGGTTAAAGCCACCCTCCTCCAGCGAGGGCGACGACACGATGCTGCTCCCGCTCATGCTGATCCCATCGTCTGCCTGATGATTCTGATGGTGGCGCAAGGGTCCGCTAAGCCGGCAGAGCGGTATCAGCGGCTGGTGGTGCGGATGATGGTGGTGCAGCTGCTGCTGCTGCTGCTGCTGATGGTAATGTGAATCCTGCAGAGAATCCCCAGGAATCGTTGGCGGTTGCACCTTCTTAACCTGTGCGGTGGATGCATGCGGCTTCAGCGAACGATGCATGATGATGTTGGGCCTCCAATGGCCGCCGTGGCCGTACTTTCACCGACTCCTGTTGGGGAAAACACACAAGAAAATTAGTACCACGTTGCAGTAAGTCTGGCGGGGCCAATGTGTCCGCCAGATGTGTGTGCCAGAAAAGCAAGAAATCTGCATAATTGGTCATAGACAGTTTTCTCTCTAAAAATAGGGCTCCCAACTGTGTTTACTCGTCGCGTTGCGGCGGCGAGTCAATAAACTGCACTATAGCCTCTCCAGCGCCTCCTCCTCCCCCTTCTCCGCCCAGCATCCAGCATCCATCGTTCATGTTCCTGCTTCTGTTCCTTCCTACCCGCTCTCCAGATCCCTCTATCTAGACCGCGGCATCTCGAATTACGCTTTTCATTCACAAAAATTTGTCAAAGCTAGACATGGCGACTAAGGGAGTACCCTTTAATTTGATATTAAGATGAGAAACTAGCTTAATACATCATTTAAGCTAATTTGACAGAATATAATATATATATTTTATTTAATTTATCAAATTAAACATCTATAAGTATGACAAACTTAAACCTTCTTCTCTATGTAATAGAAATAACATATATTATCTATGATATACCTGCCTCAAAGGCAGATTCTTTACTAGTGAGCATCTTCTAGATCTCTAAGATATTAGGTAAATAATCAAAAGAGCCCTTGAACTGATAAAGAATCAAATTAAACACCAATAAATAGTACTAGTTACTACCTTTTACTCTATATTATAGAAATAATAGATATTCTCCGTACTAAACCTGCCTTATAACCATTCAGTACCTCCTGTATCCTAAAGATACTATCTCTAAGATATTATATCTATATAGTTTATGCCTAATACGCCTTGTTGATTCCCCCAAAAAATAAAAAGAAAATCCACAACCCGTAGACGAGTTTTCCCTAGCAGCTGGGAGACACGAGGGCCTCAGGAGAGACAGTCAGGGGGACAAGAGACCCTGTGAAAGGGCGAGGGCTATAAGCACGAGCTGTGTCAAAGTTCGTTGACTGCATTTTGTGGTTCTTGAGGGGGGAAGAGAACGCAGGGTGACGTGGGGCGGGGCAGCTGCTGTCTAGTCGGCAGCAGCGTCATAATACACTCGAAAAATGCATGGACAGCCCTCGGACGGGCGCAAAAATCTGGCAAAAAGTCACGAACGAGACCCTCGACATGTCATTAACAGCAGGGTGCAATAATAAAGCCTCCCCGATTTACGGGGAAACAATAATAAAAAATATACAAGGAGCTAGAGCAGCGTCGGCTGCAATTTCCTGGCAATTTACTTACAAACTAAAGCAAGGCAACAACAATAATAAAAAAGAAAAAAAAAGTACATTTCGAGTGGCTGAGCTCGCTCAGGTGTATCGATAACAGGGGCCACCTGTTCGATTGGAAACTCGCTGCCAAGGAGGGAAAATCCAGGTGTCATAATCCGAGCGGAGGCGTATGTATGCATGTGTGTGTGTGTGCAGGTTGCAGGAAAATGCAGGAAAAGCTGAACGAGAAACGCAAAAAAACGGTGGCAGTAGTAAATCTCATTTACAAGCTGCCTTTTAATGAATTTTTATGTATGCGACGTGCCGGAAAAAAAGCGTGGAAAAACTGCAACCATTGCGAAAAGCCCAGAGAGGGAGAGAGTGGAGAAAACTCTCCCCCAAGAGAGCAGAGAGTCTACGAGCGAGAGAGAGCGACGCTGGAGCTGGAGTTTTTCGCGTAGTAGGGTAGTATATCAAAGCTGCAGCGGCGAATGTGGGTTGCGGTTTTTCGCCGTATTGTGTTGCTGTTGTTGTTGTTGTTGTTGATTTGCCGCCCACACAAGCTGCACCCAATGCAACCCCTTGTGTCCCCTCCCTCCACCAACCTCTCATATTTGCAACCACCAGCCCCCCTTCGAAATGCCAGATGTTGTTGAACCGTTTTCCAAGCGGCCGGCATTGCAGTTTCTTTCCAACAAATTTTTGTCTCTTAGGGGTTTTTTTTTTTGTATTTTTGTTATCCCATTTTTATGAGTTACCATTGTTGTTTAGGAGCTGTAAGTTTAATTGCAAACACGAAAACAGGCACACCCACACTCCTTTTTATTTCTTGAACGAGGCATTGCAACACTGGGCGCAAATATTTAAGGAATTTTTTTAATGGAGTTGTCTTTAAAGAGCTATGATTAGTCTTGACCTACATTAATAATTATATGCAAAGTATTGTAATTAAGTAGTAAAAATAAGCAAGTTCCCAAGTAAGTTAAGCTTGAATCTGGCCATAAAATTAGTACTGATGAGGTTTCTTGACAGGAAACTAAAGTAAATATAAACTAAAGAGTTTGTTGCTTAATTTCTAACAACATATGAGTTTATTTATATATATTTTTTATTTATTATATTTATTTATAAAGCTTCTGGATTATCCCTAAGTTTATCAAGCTCTCAAGAGTATAGGAAAAACCCATTTAAATATAGGATTAACACTTATCTCAGCACATTTACTATTTATATATTTACATTACCCCCAAAATTAACACTAAATAAGCCCTAAAAAGACCCCATATAATAATATTCTCATTGGAAAAATCTTTAAAAATGTAAATAAATACAAACTGGACATTATTTATGTGCAATTTTTTCGTTCAGTGCATATTACAACTCATGTTATTGTGGGTGGTGAGTAATCGTAATGAGCATAACACTTGCTCGTGCCAGCTTTTGGATTAAAAGTGTGGCTATAAAACCGATATGAAACCGAAATCAATTTCAAACCCATTGAGAGGTTTCCGTTTCCCCGTCTCGGGAGTGTTCACTGTGCGCCTCGGCATATATATGTATATAAAAACTGATTGGAAATGCAATTGGAGGCTTGGGACCTTTTGGGTGTTGGCAAATACACATAAATACAAAAGGGAAATAGTCGGACCGAGGGGGTGGTGGTGGTTGGGTGGCTATCGGCGGCAAGCAGGCTGAAAGATTTATTGATTGTCGCACATACACATATACATATACATATACACACGTATTGATAGATGTACAGTGTACAATGAAGCGGAGTTGCGGTTTTTGAAGTTGGCAGCAAAAACGCTGAGCAACTAAAAATAATTATGGTTTACACCACAACCAGTGTGCTCTCAACAACAAAAAAAGAGAAAAAGGGAGGGTGGAGGAAGGAGGGTCTGAGACTGATAAATCAGATACAAAATGACCGCAATCTTTTATACCCTATTGCAAGGGAAAAGTATATTGACAAGTCAGGCAATTGAAACTAATGAGAGAGTGTAGTAACTTTCACTGTCACCCAAGTATAAATACTATAACTACGTTCTTTGGTAAGAAATCTATAAGATTGTTAGTTAAGAATCTTATAAACTTAAGAATCTTAAAAGTCTGAAGAACCTTATAAATTTAGATACCTATAAATCCTTAAAATACAATATTTTCCATTTAAATTTATAAACTTAGAACAGATATTTCTGTGGGAAACCAAGAAACCTTTAAAGAAACTAAATATTCAAATACTTAACTCATAAAAACATAAATTTTTAAGCCAAATATATTGAAAAAAGAACAGTATACCAACGCTTGTTCAATTTAATATATTGTAATAAAATCAACAATTAATAAATGAACATTACATTAAGATTTTCGAGAGCTACAGCACACATTCACTGAATAAATATGCAATGCTCTTACCAGTTTTTATATAAAAACAGTATACTCTGCATTCGATAATGAAGGAAAAAGCGTATTTAATCTTCGCCAGATTTCCTTCCCGTTTAGTGGCTCGTTTTCTTCTCTTTCATATCGTTTTTGTCGCTGTCGAGAGCCGTTAAAGTTTACTGGCATGAGTAATCAGCCAAATGGAGCGCAATAAAATGGCAAACGGTAACACGGCCAATCTATCACCAGAACGGCCAGCTTCAGCTTCAGTTCAGGCAGCAACCCCCGCACACTGGACCCACTATATAGACCATATCTATACACTACCCACCCACAGGAAAGCATAGTACTGGCAGCAGCATCAAATGAGGCGCATCTCAATCTCATGTTTATTAACGGTGCTCAGAGTGTGTGAGCCTCAGTGTGCTGGTGTCATTAAGCCAGATAGATAAAGGAAGGAAAAGGTTCGAAATCACCCCCGAACACTCCCTCCCTCACTCCCTTCGTTTTCTACCCGTACTTAACCGTCCTCAGTCGGCCAACACTTCATTATTGACAACAAAAGGCTTTGGCCGACTCTCAAGCTTCGTATTTATCAGCTGCGGGTGCTTTGCATATGACAAGTTTTATTTTATTCTTGTTTTTTATTTATATTCTGTTTTTTTTTCACTCTTTCACTCGCTTTTCCCCCTTTTATTCTTTTGCCGGCCCTCGGTTTCTTTATTTTGCCCGAAATGCAATGGACAAAGTTCGGTCGTACTTTATTCGTGTTTACCACGCCCCGGTCTGGGTTTAAAAAAAAGGCTTTGTACTTAGTAGAATATTTTGTCAAACCAAACAAAAAACTAAATAAAGAAAGCGACAAATACACAGAGGAAAAAGGGGAAGAATGATATGATATACTAGGGATTTGAAATGGTGCTTAAAACGTCTCATAAAGCAAAAGTGAAATTTCAGCATTACTTTAACAAGCTGCTGTATTGACCTTGCCACCAAATTTATGGTAATAATCAGTAGATTGCTAGAAAAGCTTGCTTCAGTAAGTTAAGGTGCTTAATAAAGGTTTATAAACGTGATAATCATTACAAATATTATTACAAATCTACAATTTCAGAATAATAAAGCTTCAATTACTTATTTCTCTCTGTGCAACATCCGTGGAGCGACAACAACCGCACAAAAGATGGTGTCGATGATGCTGCTTACTCGCTGCCCCTGCCCCCTCTGGAAACTTCCCATCTCTTTGCCACAACGACTGTCGATAGCTCGAGATGTTGATCTTGCAAAGCGCAGAGCTGGAGACAAGCAGCAAAGCACAGCAGCAGCAACAACGATGCCAGTAACTCCCAGCAACAATAAATGGCCAGAGGCAGCCGAAACTTGTTTTGCCTGTAAAAGGGAGTTGTCGTTGTCGTTGTTGCGTTGCTTTGCTGTGCTGTAGTTGTAGTTGTTTGTGCATTGTCTCCGCGTTTTGTTTCAGGTTTCAGGCAAACGCCAAGAACAGGCAAAAACAGCACCATAACAGCTATATGAGGTAAACTGCAAACTGCAGCAAGGAGCATTAGGGGAAACTGTACTGTTACCCTATAGGATAATGAATCCTTTGAGCAACAACTAACTATCTCAATAAAAATAATACTCTTTCCATTGTAAGAAATGTATCTTTTAAGCAGAGAAAGTATCTTGAAAAAAGAGTTTTGTATCTTGAAATGCAAGCAAGAAGAGAAACGCAATTTTAAAATCAAATAATTAAAATAGTCTTTACCCCTTCTATAGCAAATCTCTGTGTCTTAAACCCTTAAAAGGAAATTTAATATTCAATGCAATTTCTTTTACTTAATTGTTGCCAAGACTTTGTAGGAAATAAACCGATAGCTAATTGCTTTGATTGCTATAATTAAATTGCCTTTTGCAGTGGTCAACAGTTGGCAAACTTGAATAGAACATGGCTCAATGGCAATCCAGACCCAAATCCAAATCAATAGCACACATGTTCCATTTGGAATAGTTAATTTAGGAATGCCACTTCAATTTAATTAAATGTTGAAATGATTAATGTTACTACTATTATAATTTTTGCACCATGTGTGATAATAAGGAGATGTTCAAAAACAGTCGAGACTGGTATACTTATTGGCACTCTGAATTCCCCACATTATATGGTATAACCGACATACCCAGTGATACCCTTTTATGGCCGTTGTTGTTGGCTGATGATTCCGGAGGAGCGGAATATAAAGCTCGTAGGAGGCTAAATGCAGCGCTGAAGATGTGTCAAAAGTGTGGGCGGGCGGGTAGAAAATGGACAGGCGGACAGACGTACGGATAACTTACGTGCAGTTTAACGGTTAATGCAAACGAAGACGACATTGCGTTGCGCATATGGCCATATTGTATGGATACCAAACAGAAACAGAAACAGAAAACAGAGACGGACCAAATACGGCGGACAGGCACGTAGAGAAATATACTCGAACTCGTACTCGAACTCGTACTCGAACCAAAAGCGGCCATCAATTCCTTCTTTTTGTATTTTTTCCTTCTTTCTTTTTTTATTTTTGGTCAAGAAGAAAGGGGCAAACAAGTTGTAAGGCGAGCAATGAGTGCAGACAAAAGCAGTTACAAGACATGAAGAAGACAAGGGAGAAAAAGAGGCGGGGGTGGGAGAGATACACAGAAAATATAAAGTGATATGTCTCTTTGAAGGTTTAATGATAAGAGCTTATACGCTTTATAAGTTGGAACCTTTCAAAGTATTGTAGTTTAAGCAGAAATACAAGAAAATCATTTAAAATATAATGAAAGACATATAAATTATGCTTCAAATTAACCATTCTGTTAAAATTTTACAATATAATTATATATCTATCAGGTTTTATCGAATATACAAATATTTAATATGAATTTTGGCTAAATTCCTAAAAAATTAAATGAAACAAGGAGCTTCTCAGGCGTGCCACCAGAAATACATAAATATATCATTGCATACTTTTGAAGATACATTAAAAATGTGTTTAAATCAATAATCTGCAAGTGAAGCAAATTTAAGAGCCTTTATCAATATTTAATTACTTTAAATACCATAAAACTATGTATTTCTAAGCAATTTTTCGCAGGTTTTTTAAATTGTTTAACATTATGATACCCAAAATGAGTTCTTTCTGTGTAGACATGAATAATGGAGGGCAGTCCTCAGCGTTTTACAGCTACATTGAACTTTTTGAGGCACTTGCCGCTTGCCCCGCCCACCGCCTACCACCCATTTCCCATTTTCCTTTATTCTTTCCTTTTTCGGCCGAAAATTCGTATGCGGCTTACTACTACGCACACACACACTACTACGCGAATTCCCACACACACTCACACACTCGCACACACATGCGTAGGATATCGCTTAACAACTGTGCAGAAAATATGTAAATTACCATTGTAAATCGCTGATTTTCCGCCAGATTCCAATTAAATCCTGCCACAGAGACTCGAAATGCACATTAGCTTTGCTTTTCACAAGGATTGCAATTGATTTTTCATACGAAAATTCTGTGCAAAAATTTCTTTTTTACGTTAACACCAACACACACTCACACACACACCAACACACGCGAGCGTATACCGAGCAGAAAAGTCGCTGTAGTTGCTGTTGTTGCCGCCGCTGCTGCTGTTGGTGGCACCACACCGAAGAATTGGAGCCGAGCGAGAGGAGAAAAAGAGAAGCGACGACGACCGCAAGCCAAAGCTTATTGAAACGCGGCTCCAGCATGCGAGCGTTAAAGCCAGGTCCGTGGATTCGTAGTATAGTGTCCGGACTTTGGAGTCCTCCAAGTTGCAGCAGAGAGCGAGCCACAGAGAGAGCGAGAGAGAGAGAGCGGAGGAGAGAGCCAGTGCGCAACTTGTTTTCTCTCTCCTTCCACAGCTCCAAAGCTCCACCGCGAGGTGGACTCTCCAGTCGCCTCGATTTTTCTCAGCGGCCAATTTGTTGCAATTGAAACAATAACAATTCCACTGGGCAATTTGTTTCGGGCCTGGCAAATTAGTTAGTTAATAAATGAATGAAGAAAAAGGGAAAAGAGAAATGGGAAAACAAAGCGTAGCTTCAATAAGCAGTCACAGGCTTTATTCCCTAAAGTGGTTGTCATTGGCGACGCTGGAAATGCAGCGGGTACAATGGGAAATGCAATGCAATTAGGTGACTGGGAAAATATATCATAACTAAAGCTTGAAATATTCGCCTTTTTTTTAATCGATATCAAAATTTAAAAACTCATAACTAAAAATGCCAAAAATGCATTAATTTTAATTTGGAAAGCTTTCCTATGTACGTTTTTAAAAGGTTAATAAATCTGCACACTCAATTAAAAATGTAAAAAATATTACATTTTTTAAATTTTTGAATTTAACCCCTTATAAAATTTGAAAAAAAAATTTGTAAATTTTTTTTCCTACCGAAGATGGCTAGATCGATTTGTCTTTTGATGCTGATCAAGAATATATATGATTTATAGGGTCGGAAATTACTCCTTTCAGTGTTACAAGCTTCTGACTAAAATTTGAATACCATTTTGAGTCGATATTATTTATATTTTTATATGACAATTTGTTCAACAAATCAAAATTTAAAAATTTCATAACTTAGCCAAAAACGCATTAATTTGAATTCGGAAACCTGTCCCATGCAGGTTTTTATTAGGCTAATAAATCTGCATACTTCATTTAAAAGCGAAAAAAATCAAATATTTTGCCCATTTTTGAAAATTGTAACCCTTATAAAATTTTGAAAAAATGTAAAAAAAAATGTATTATTTTTCCTACATGTCTAGAAAGATTCGCCTGTTGATGCTGATCAAAAATATATATGATTTATAGGGCCGGAAATGACTCCTTCACTACATTTAAAGCTTCTGACTAAAATTGTAATACCCTGCAAGGGTATAAAAATACTATCTTTTGTTTAAGTTACCTCAGCTTATTGTGCTTAACTATTTAAAGCCAATAAATGTTGTGACTTTTGTTTGTAATTTATATTTTAGATAACAATTTTTTGGGGCTCATAGGTGTAGTGATGAACGTGACATTTCTGTAATGGATAAGCTGCTTATCTGGTCGTCCCACTGTGCGTTGAATGCCACAGAAAAGGCAAACAAACCGTAGCTCTTACACACACACACACAGGCGCAAAAAGCCAGCACAACCACTTTTCATGCCGCACAAGCCAATAAGAGAAATAGAGAGAGGGGAGCCACTTGCGGACAGAGAGAGAGCGACAGAGCTCCAAATTGGAGCCTCCAGCGAGTTGCGGCAACTTTAAATGAGAATACGCGCATCTGCGCTCTCTCTCTCTCTCAGTCTCTGACTCTGGGAGCTTCGCTCTTGCTGTAATCTCCTAGTGGAGCCATTACCTCCCCCACCACTGTTCTAACACTTCATTGGAGACAACGACCATCAAGTCATTTGATTCCCACACAAATCTCTGCATATTGAGCGGCTCTCTGTGTCTCCACCTCTCTTTCTCTCTCTCTCTCTTTCTCCCACTCGTTTCATTATGGCAAGTGAGTTATGGCTTTTGCGAGTGTATGTGTGGCTGCGCTTTCTATTGATTTATATGAGAGTTTTATGGCGCAATCTGAGCCATAATAACCAGAAAGAAGAAAAAAATTACAAAATGCCTTGCATTTTAATTAAAAAACTAGAAGGGAAAAAGTGCATGCATTATGTAAAAAATACGAACTATTGCCTAGTCCAAAGCGGGCTTTTCAAACTCCCCCCATTTCTCACGACCAGAGTTGTCGCGTGCCCTTAAAAATCGAGTAGCCGTTAAATCCCACGACACGTGTTGGTTTTATTAATTACATAAGCTGCAGCTGCAGTCGTGTATTGTCTTCAATTTTCTTTCCCTTTGTTTCCTTTTTCGGAAACCCAATTTCCTGCAGATGCCTCGAAGATGCGGCGGCACTAAATAAAGCCGAAACAGCTGGCAACCCTCGAAAAGTGACAGATGGCGACGCTGACGCCGACGTTGGCGCAGGCAGCGGAGGACGAAGGAGGCATCAAAATAAAAACACAAAAGTGAACAAGCGGCCGCCGCTTCGGAAATTAACCACCAGAAAACTGAGTAAAATATATGGATTTACTTACTTTACAACTAGAAAATATCTTTCCAGGCTTTTAATTAACTCCACGATGCCTCCTCTCGGTGTTTTTTGGAACAAATCACAATAAATTACGAGCGCAACGAAAGCTGGCACACAAAATGTAAACAATGTAAAATTGTCGTAATTGTTGTAGTTGTAGCCTAATGAATTTCACGTTTTTTATGGCATTTTCCACAAGCAAACGGCATAAAACAAACACACAAAAACACGCACACGCACACAAAACACTGTTTGTTGTCTCTATTTTATGTCTGCGGCGCGCGAGTAAAACATAAAAACCAGATTAATTTCCACCAGACGAAAATGACTTTTTTTTTGTTGATTTCTTTTAAGCTGTGTTTCTTGCGTCGTCGACGTCGACGTTGTTGATATTGCGCGACGGCTCTTTTGTTTGCTAAGCCGCCATTTTCTTTTTGCTCATTTTTAGGGGCTCTTGCCGGAAAAACTTCATATTAATAACTTGACGCACTTGTTCTCGATAGCAAACATAAACACTAGAATTGTTGTATTGTATTATTATCCGAACTATTTGTTTTTCTTTAGGATTTGCCGACGACTTTCCGCGACTCACGTCCGAAGACGGAAAAAAACAAAAACAAAATAGTGTGACCTACACTGGCTGGTGCTGGCATACCATCGTTGTACTATCGCCACTATCGATATTTATACACTATCGATGATTCTGTTCTACATTTTACATCATACACGTGGGGATATTTACATACATGGGGATATTTCTCGCCATCACTTTCGATACAATAACATTGAGTTCATTTGTTTTTGTACTATTTAATATTCGACATCGATGATCGGTGTGACCGTCTTCTGACTACTTGAATATACCGTCTGACCGCCAAAAATATACCAAATCTTCGTTTGGTATTGTCTGTGCAGCCCTGTCACCACTTTGGCCTCCGCTTTGTGCTCTCCTTCCAAAAAAAGAAACGGGAGGACAAGCGATGTTAATTTTAATTTGTTTAAAACAACTGAACTGCCAGCCATAACAATTAATTAAAAAGTGTGCAAGTGCCAAGGCTTCAATTAAAATGTTTGTGACACACCGATCGGCTTTAATTTAACTGTTGCGTGCTGTTTTTGATTTGTCATTCGTTTACGTTTCGTGAGTGTTTTTGTGCGGCGTTTTGTGCGTATTTTTTTGTGGTTAAACAAACTGCAGAAAGTAGAGTGAGTTGATAACGTTATTGCAGTTTCTCTTTAAGTGTTAATCACCAGCTTAAGAACTAATAATGCCAAATTAGCAGCGGCACAATAGGAAAATGCAAATGCCTTAAAACAGGTTGTCGCCGCTCCCATTCCCGCTACCGCGGTCTCTCTGTTCCCCTCTTTCTCTTTCTGCCGTGCGCTTTGGTATTTGTTGCCTCCGCGGTATTGTTGTTGCCAACTGGGTACTTTTTTTAACAGTTGCCTTGGTCAATGTACGGCATTAATTACGTTAAAATGGTAGAATTCTCGAAGCCACAGATGCCAAAGTAACTACGTAAAGAGAAGAGAAGAAGTAAGACTAAACTAATTTGCACACTCGCTTTGGCGTGCTAATTCCGCTTACTTTGCTTCTTTTATGTGATATCTTTTGGGTTTGAGGGCGTTTTGCATGATTCATTTGCTGCGTTTGTTTTGTCTTTTGTGTTTGTCTCTGCGCGCACACACACACACATCGTTGCAGCCAGCAACAACAACTACCTGTGGCATGCAGTTCGCTCAGCTTGTATGTTTGTGTTTGCGCTTGTGCCGCTCAAATGTCAAAGTTGACATTTCGCTTTGGGCGGGATTTCAAATTGAAGGCGAAGAAAGTGGCACAGAGAGCGAAAAAGAGATTGATATTTTTAGACTTTTTATCTATTTCGTACAGTTAAAATTTATAATTTATTTTTATGTGCTTAACTATGTATTATTAAACCTTACAAAGATGAGGTTATTTATATCTATTTAAATGGGAATTAAATCATTTTTAGCAGTTAAAATAAGAAATTTCCAAAATGTAGATTTTTAATTAAAGTTTTCTTTTGATATATAAAAATTCTTTATGAATAACCTATATTTTACAATAGTTTTTATTTGTTAAAGTTCCCTTTATAGAAGCTCCCCTGTTTAATCTTAAACTTTTATCTCTTCTCCCTTTTTTTGCAGTTTTCTGTTATCAACTTGTGTTCGTGTGCGTGTGTGCCTCTATTTGTTTCGTGTTATCTAAAATCACTTTAGCCAGCTAGCAAATGCAGAAAATGCCCTCTCAAATTCTGAACGACGGCAGCAGCGTCAGCTTGAATAGTGCCAGCGTAAACATGGCCAATTCCCCAAATAGCATTACGGTGAAGACCGCCTACAATGGCCAGATCATCATCACCACGATCAATAAGAATATTTCGTATGAGGAGCTCTGCTATGAAGTTCGAAATATCTGTCGATTTCCCATTGATCAGGTAAGAATGTTATTTTAACTGAATATTTTACATTTTCTAAGAGATTTGTTATTTTTTTCAGCCATTTACCATTAAATGGGTTGACGAGGAGAATGATCCCTGCACCATATCATCGAAAATGGAACTGGACGAGGCCATACGGCTGTATGAAATGAACTACGATTCTCAACTGGTCATTCATGGTGAGTGTATTACTATTTTCTTAGTTAAAATTGTGTTTAGTTTAAGGATAAGTTTATAGTATTAGCTGTGTTCAATTTAGAGATATAAGTTTGCTTAAAATTATAAATTATAAGCTGTATGCGTATAAAAACGCAAGAAATCAAAGGAACTTCTTTAAATTTAAGGAGTTTTATAATAAGTTTGCCTTTTAGAATTATCTATGGTTTTGAAATTAATTTAAAAAGTTTCAAGAGTATGCAATAACATTGTTTACGTTCCAAATACTGTGTTTACATTGTTATTTCATAATTTTCAACACTTTTTAAGTGGATTACAAAACCCCAGAAATTTTTTAATTTTGTTCAACGTTATCTATTAAGCTTCAGTAGCTGAAAATTATCAGTATTAAAAGCAGCCCACCAACGAAAATCTCTTTCTTACCCTTTTCTCCACAAAGTTTACAACTTTTTTGATTGAATTAAATGGAAATAATTTCATTTAGCTGCCGCAAAATATCCAGTAGGCAATTAATTATCCAATAAGCAACATATCTCGTGGGTGGATCCAATATTTAACCAGGCCTATAAACATTCAGGCCTGATTAAACAATGTGAGAGCAGAGCAGCACGTTCTATTGGCTCAATAAACTTGAGTTTTCCTCGTGAGCTTGTCGGCACCCGTCACATGGCTTTAAGGCAGAGACAGAAGCACCAGCAGCAGCTTCTCTACTCAACTTAATAACATAAAATATTAATTAACCCGTACACACACACACACTCACACGCTCGAGGATCTCGTGTCTTACGGCAATTGCCTTGAGCAGGGAGCGTTTTTCTTCTTTTTATTCTGTTGACTTTTCCCAGCCTCCTCCGACTTGCATATTTACATATAAAGCTCTGTTGGCTCTTGGCTCGCCGGTCCCCATTTATAATTCATTATAATTAAATTGTTTGCTCCGTGTGGGTTTAAGTTTGTCCCCCTCTTGTTTTTTGGAATTTTAATTTTCCTGTCGTGCGGTTTTTGGCGATCTCACTCAAAGCACCCGCTCGCTTACACACTCCCCCTGTGAGTTTTGTACTTAATTATGCCAGCCGCAAAAACAAAAAGGGGTTTCACTTGCCACATTTGTTCGTTTCGGCAAATGACAAACACAAAACCCTTTCAGACACTAAATTAACAAAATAAGGAGGAATGAAAGTTGAAGATGATGGAATAAGGAATACGCTTTATTGGAAAAATTTTATTGAATTTTAAATTAATTGAGAAGACGTCTTAAAATATAAAATAAGATTAGTATGTATATATATTACTATATTTTAATTCTCCAAATAATTAAGATATTCCAAGTTTAGAGCACAGTGAACATCCAATTTGTTGAAAGTGTTTAAAAAATGTGTGTATTGCATATTTTACAACACCTTTCTAATTGATTTCAAATCCCTGGTGATTTTGGCTTCCATAAATACATTTATTATCAATATATGCTAGTACAAGGACCTTTAATATTTACACATTCGATGTCAGCGTAATCCGCTTAAAGGGAATCCCCACTAAATTCAGAATGCACTAACATTTGCCGAGTTATTCACATTATCCTTGGTCATTCCACCATACCTGTGGTCATTCTCTGTTTTTCTTTATTTTTTCGAACATGAAAAACTCGGAAAAAGGAGGGGAAAAACCAGCTACAACTAACGGCACAGCAGATATGATAACTGCCAGTCGCACTACACAAAGTTTTATGATGAGGAGGGGGAGGTTACTGCGGGGGGGTTACAGTTTCCGCTTTCGTTTTTCTCTTCTTTTTTTTGTGGCTTTTTGTTTTTGTGCTTGGGACCAAGCTTCCTGATATTTTGAGGCCATTTCGGCTGCCCATCTCACTCGCACTTGTAGCGCCATAAGGACATGTGTGAGGGGAAAAACGAAGAAGAGCGTGAAGGGACAACATGTTAGTTATTGTTGTTGTTGTTGTTATGTGGCCACGTGTGAAAAAATGCGGCTTAAAATGTATTAAAAGCATTCCGTATGCGTGTTAGAGTGGGGGGGAGGGAGACAGAAAGAGGGAGATGGAGCTGGGGGCATTGTCAAGGTATTACGTTACCGTTACACGCACTCCTGCATATGTTAGTGTGTTGGGTCGGTGTTGTTGCCTTTGCTGTTCTTTTGTTGCCTTTTACATGTTTTCTGTTTGTGTTGATTAGTAAATGGAAGTGTGTGTGTGAGTGCACGAGCTCGTGTATGTTTCTGCATTTTTACAAGCCCTTGTTTTGACTCCTTCTCTCTCTTCTTTTTTTTGTATACATATTTGTTTTTCTTATTTTCGTACGTGTATGTTTCTTTATGCCTTTGGTTTACCTTCCGGTTTCATCTCCGGCCAACAATACCTTCCGTTCTGTCCGCTCTTCCCCCCTGCGACCCCTCTCGCCAAAAACAAAACAAAACAAAAAGTACGGAAAGCCTGAAAGCTACCGTTATAATTTATGCGCCTGCAATATGGCAACGCTGCCCTGCGAAAGCAGGCACACACACATGAAAAACTTTTGTCCAGGTCCGAAGAACTTTTTTGGTGTGTTCGTGTGTTTGTGTGTGAAGCCCAAAGGTCGATACACAAGATGCCGTTACCCAGGAGCGAGATGGCGCTAGCTGGCGAGCGGGGAGAGAGAGCATTTCCCCAGTCGAAACAAAAAACAGCTGAGCCAAAACGCAAGGCATTGCCATTTGGGTGAGAGCTGGTCCGAGCTGGCAATGCTTAAAGCGCCGGTCTGCGGCTTTCTCGCCTCGCAAAATAAAGGATATTCAGAGGAGAGTAGTCCTGTGCGTCACCTGACATTGAAGAACTTACGCTCATCCGTTCTCTCTCTGGCAAATTTCCCTAGCATACTTCTCTGCGTCGGCATTTCACTCGCGCGTTGGCCGCTCGCCTGTGTGGAAGTGCCGTGCGGAATTCCGAAAAAGCTAACCATTCTCCGGGCTTCAAAGTCGCGTCGCACACACA